AAAAAGGCCACACTAAAGCTACCAGCACTATGTTCACTGCAGCATTATTTACCACAGCTAAGATATGGAACCAACCCAGATGCCCCTCAACAGATGAATGGATCAAGAAAACGTGGTTTATATACACAATGGAATGTTCCTGTTCTCCATGTCCTAACCACATATTGCACTGCTTTCCTTCTCACCTGAACTATATAATGAGGTGTTCTAATTTTTTTAAAGTATATTATTCTAAGTCAGATGTAGGGTATTTTATTGTATTAAATAATATATTGCAGAAAAATAATCTAAACTAATTCAAACTGAAAACCTTTTATAAAAAAAAAGCCCACACACAACCCAGAAAATATTTATTTCACAATTTTTACATCATTTAAAAAGAATGAGATGAAACAATTTTGAACACAGTAATTTATTTTATGCAGTTTAAATCCATCATTTAAAAACTTTTAAAAGGCACTTTAAAAAAAACATTTAGAAATACATTTTTCTATAACTTTAATGGTGATCACTTAAAATAAGCAACTCACCAGACATTTAAAAATCATTCACGACACTATTTAAATAATTTTTAAATTCCAAAACACAAACATTCACTGTATAGTACAACACACTGCTTAGCAGTAAGATTAGTTTCCCTCTAATAATATACTTCCTGTAGATTATTAATTTGTAGGGTCCTGCAAAACGATTCAAATTTATAATCTGAAAACAAGAGGTAAGAAAATTGAAACAGAACACAATTCAACTCTAAAACTAGCTTTAGAGTTGCTTTCTCTAAAGAGCATTTGGATACGCTCTTAATTCATCTGTGCTATAATTTCCATTTCAACTCTGATTATATAAACACAAGTCATTTTTAAATCAAGAGGTTATACTGATCACAAAAATACCACAGGTTGTCTCTCAAGATTTCTTGTACATGTTTCTGTCAGGTCTAATATACAAGTGGAGAAATAAAGCCAAATGAGTTTGGGTTTTGTTTTCAAGAGGAAGGTGAGTAGTGAGGATGGACCCAAATGACTTTATTTCATTTAGTAATTATGGACATATATTAGTTGAAAATTGCAGTTTCATAAGTAGAGAAAGAATACTTAGCAGACATTATTTAAAGACTTTTAATCTCCTAGGGAAACCTAAATTTAGTAATATAAAACTGTCATAAAGTGATACAAATTCTAATAACTAAAAACAGTCAAATTAATCTTACAAAGGCAGCGTTGAGAGTAGCTAGAAAGCATGTTAGTTGTAAAGAAATAAAGAAAAGCAGTAAGTACAAAGCAACAGACATTGCTAAAAACAGAATAAGGATCTAATAATCTGAAAATTGAAATGAATAATGTCTTAGCTATGAGCAGATTATTTAATCAAGTGAGGGAGTCTTTCAAGACAATAGGACCTAAAATGGTAATACAATTTGGTAGGCTCAAGGAAGTGAAATGAACACTCAAAAATCAATTAATTATGAAAACAGCATGTGAGCAAATGTAAAGCTCAAGTCCAATTACCATGTTAAAAACATGATATAACTAATTTTAGTAGTTTAAAATTTCTAATTTTACTAGTTTAAAGTTAAGAGTAACAAAATGTCTGAAATGTAAGGTATTGAAAGCAAATCATCAAACTGAGACAAAAATCAGCTTTGTATTTATGAACCTCCCATGTAAGTATGTTATTAGAGAACAAAAGACATTAAGGCTTATGCTTTAGGATCACATTGAAATCATTTATCCAAATGACAAATATCTTAATCTAAAATATTATTAAAAGATTATTACTATGAAGTCTTTCTTAATGTGCTCTATGAAATACCTGAATTTTTTTGCTTCCTTAGATCAAATAGGACAAATGATGCTTCAAAGTGTAGATTTGAGTTGATAGTATGAATTAGCAAAACATACTCTGCCATACTTCAAAACAGCATTTTGCTATTTATAAAATTTTGGATGAGACTTACGTATGTTTTTAATGAGTGAACTTATTAATAATAAGCTATTCTTGCCAGATGTGAAATTTTGGAGAATTACAGATTTTTACAGGTATTAGCCACTCTGGAAGAGCTGAAGAATATTTGCAAAAATAAATGAACCACTGACAATTTAAATTACCTTCAAATGAATTTAGTGTGATCCTAGACTATTTTAATAACATGTGTTAAGGCTTTAAATTTGCCTCTCTCATCATGGGATAGTAATCTTGAGCATCTGCACCAGAACCATATAGGTAGTTGGTCAATAAATCTTGAACCACAAACACAGGGCTTGTTTAAATATACTCTGCCTTGGAGTTTCTGATCCAATAGGTCTGGGTAGGGAGCTGAAGAAGAGTTCCATTTCCAACGTGGTCCCAGGTTATGCTACTTGAAAGCTGAGGCCTATAAGCCACAGTAAGCCCACAAAACCATTTTGTACATGAAGAGAGACACATGTTTTTTCACAGGCTTCCCCCAGCCTGTCTGCTTGCACTGATAAAATGTGTATGGCCTAAGAATAAATGTTACGATATCCAACTGGCCCTTGACAGAAAAAAAGGTTTCCTACACCTTGTTGTGTCTGGTAAAAATGTATCTTCCTGGACCCATGCTAAATCAGAACTTCTGGACTTGAGATCTTAAGACCTCCATTTAAACATGTCCCCAGGCAAGAATATGAGAACCACAATTTAACACTCACTATTGGCTGATTAACCTACTACTGGCTAACAGTATCAGATGCCATATGTCATATGTGTAAAAAGGAAAACAGAGCTAAATGACTAACTTCAAAGCTCACATAATACACATGAATACACAGGCTTGGAGTATGAATTCTAGTTATGTTACTTACTAGTTCTGTTACAATGGAAAAGTTACTTTAATTCTCTAAGCCTCAGTTTCATCATTTATATTATGGGAATAATACTTAATTTGTGAGGATTAAATAATGTACCCAGAATAAGCATACTCCCTGGTATAGAACAGGCACTAGATAAATATGAGCTATTGCAAGAAATGTAAAAAATACTTTCCTTCAGTAGCTAATCTGATCATTTCATTCATTTATATCAAATACCTATACTCCCAGGTATTAGAATAATAAATCTTTGCTTCCTATACTGGGCCAATGTTCAAAAGGCCTTACATATAGTCGCTTATCTAATCCTCATAAAAGTCCTGTGAGGTAGGCAGTATTATTATCCTTAATTTACAGATGGGGAAATTGAGGCACAGAGACATTAAGTAAATTATTCCAGGTTACAAAATAGTGAGGGAGTGAATTTAAAAAGTAGGCTGTTCAGCCCAGGCAGGAAAGTCCGTGAGACTCTGGATCTCCAATAAACCACCAGAAAACCGGAAGTGGAGCTGTGGCTCAAGTGGCAGAGCACCAGCCTTGAGCTGAAGAGCTGAGGGACAGCATCCAGACCCAGAGTTCAAGCCCCACGACCGACAAAAAATAAAATAAATTAAACAACAACAACAACAAACAAACAAAAAACTAGGCTGTTGACTCTAGAGCCCAAGATTGATCACTACACTTATGTCTTATTAAGCAAATGTTCTGTTACTTTTAGGGACATTTAGGATAAACTATTGATACTTCTAGTTAAGAAGAATATCATATGGGCTGGGAAGGTGGCTCAGTGGTAGAGTGCTTGCCTTGCATGTATGAGGCCCTGGGTTCAATTCCTTAGCACCACATAAGCAGAAAAAGCCAGAAGTGGTGCTGTGTCTCAAGTGGTGGAATGCTAGTCTTGAGCTGAAGAACCAAGGGACAGCTCTCAGGCCCAGAATTCAGGCCCCACCACTGACCAAAAAAAAGAAAGAAAATAAAAAAAAAAAGAGAAGAGTACCATACGTGGAAGACAGATAAATTCATGCTAAACCATAATAAAAAGTTGCTCATAGAAAAGACTGGATACTTTGAAATTATGGCAGATGATATCACAATGAAAACAACAAAGAAAAATTTAATAGGTAAATTGGTATGTGTTTTCACTGTAAGGATAGAGGAAATCATAATTAGCCACTGAAAGGAGCATCCTCAAAAATATACTATTTAAAGAGGTCAATGCTTTCGACATGTTTTGGCACGACAAATCTAAGTTATTTATCTAAGCACTGAATCAACTGTATGACAAGTACATAAAATTATCATAAGAAATGCAAATATATGCTACATTTGAAATAATCTTATGGAAAGTGTAAAACATTCTGTTAAATATTGTTAGACACTCAGTAATGCTGAAGACAACAAAAGTTAAATAATTTTTCCCTACCCACTAGAAATTCGTTAAACAGAAAATTACTAAAACTAGAATGAAACATTTGTAAATGTGTTTTGACAGCAGACTTGAATAGTAGTCTGCTTTGTTAGAATTATCATGGGCAAGGCAATTATCCTCAAATAGTAAGTTAGCATCAAATTCCAAGTTATTATTCATAAATTAAGCATTTACTTTTTAATGTAACATTTTAATAACATTTGGAAAATAACATTTTTTAATGGTTTTCATCAACTCTGGTCAAAACCTACATTTGAAATATTTTGCCAGCATAAAAGCCACCTCAAACCTAAAACTGAATTTTAAAACAAGTTATAAAAGGCACAAACAAGTTCTCATTTTTCAACAGAATGAAAATGAAAGGCATAACAATTATGTAGTTGGATAGAGTTTAAAATAATAATGTCACTTAGTTATTCCTGAGAGTGGCATTGATAGAAGAAAAGCATGCCCAAATAGCATTAAGTTTACTATTTATTAAGTACCCATAATTAACAATGGGTAAAGCTGAAAACAAAATATTTGAAAATGCATGTTTACAGAATGCTATTATAGCTTTAAGCAAATAAATACTAGTACTGGAGAATGATATTTAAGAGTGGTCAACAGTGAAAAAAGACATAGGAACTTGGTAGGATTCATTAGAACCAAGTGTATAACATAGTCAGGGCTGAGAACTTCAAAATGTATTTTTATTAATGTGCTATTATTCTACCTTCTCCTTGAAGAAATGCTGCCAATTATAAATAATCACAGAAAAATTTTAATTGGGTAACTGTGTGTTGGGCTGATTCATTTATACTATACTGCAAATGAGTTTATAAATAACACTGAGCAACAATATTTGCTTCTAGAATTTCTTTAAGGCAGGTCTGTTTAGCATTGGATGTTACTACATGATGCAGTATAGGTATAGCAAATTTAGCTGTTTTAGTTTCTCAGTGACAATACACATGGTTGGGAACGGGCAACAAAATCGCTTCTGGTTTTTCTATGTTAACATTTTAAAAACATGTTTTTCACATATATATATATATATATATATATTATTGTATCAAAATACATTTTAACAGACTTCACAGCTCACTTAAAGCTTCAGTTTGCAGTCACTCATTTGAAAGATTTCTAAGTGGAATGTTCAGTTAGAAGAATGAATTCCTCACTTGGATTTCAGGATTTTATGTCAGAAATGCAGAAAAATCCTTCTTCAGTGCAATGCTAGACCATTTTACCTGGGTTCATTCTTTTTTTGTTTTTTTTTAACGGTTTCCTAATTTTACTTTTGGATCCTCATCCTTGTTTAATTGACTTATTTTCTTTAGTATATTCTCAGGTAAGGCAGGCTGATATCTATATAAATAACCATATGGACGAAGATGATAAACGAGGTATTCTAATTCATACATAGTTGTGGAATCAACATAGTGAAAAGAAATTGCAAGATCAGAACAGCAACCAGGACCCTAAAAAGTAGCAGAAAAAGGCACTGTTAGCAAGCAGCACATTAACATTCAATATACACATACTGATAAAGGACACACAAACTTTAAGAGAATTGGTGCATTAAAGCTGACAAAGTAGAGTAAGTACCTGCTTTATTACACATGTGGAACAAACCTAAAATTCCTAATGATTTAAAACCAAGTATTAAGCTGCCAAAGTATTTCTAACAGAAATGTATTCTCCTACATACTCTGTATTTTAGGAGATACACTTCTGGAGACTTCTTCAAATAAGGCATTTATATAAAGAATGAGATTCTATTTGTCTAACTTTTTTGCTTTCCTGCATAATTTTCTTACTATAATCTTATGGTTGGCTCAGCCTCAGAAAGAAACCCCTAGAGCATTCAATCAATGGGTATATAGCTTTGCCTAATATCTGCTTACAACCTAATAATTTATCTGTCAACCTAAACAGTGCGAAGGGGAAAAAGTTCTTAAGTCAGACTTAGGTTTGAATCTAAATTTTGGTTACTAGTATTTAACTTTGGGCAGCTTACTAAATATGTAACATTTCAACTTTCTTCAAAAAGTGGTTATTTAAAGGAGACACTGGTGAATACAAGGTATCATATTATTCTGAAATGTACAAACATAATTTATCAAATTATATGCCTTGGATAGTCACAGAAATGTATGTTAAGGTATAAAACTAGAGACAGATTAAAAATCTATCGTGTGTTAAGTTATATTACATTGTAATTATGGTTAAATGACACAGGTAGATATATCTAATATATAAATAACAAAAGGCTTAGACATTATGTAAATTTTGCCTAGCTAATGTCATTCAATCATTAGGCAGAGTATAGGATTGGGACATAGATCTTTCTGATGTTGTCTTCCTGAAAATCAGAAAGCTCTTTAACCAAATCTTCATAGTTTGCTTTCTAGCTTCAGTTTTTGCTCAAAGTCACCTGTGAGAGAGGCCTTCTGTAAGCACCCAAATCACAGTACCCTACCCCACTACAAGTTTCTCCTTATCACCTTATTTGGATTCTGAAGACTAATTATTACCTAAAATCTTTGTCAATCTGTCTATTATGTAATTGGAACTTAACTCCTTACTCTATGCCTTTTGTGTCCAGTGTTACATGACTATCGGTATCTACTGAAGACCTATTGCTGATACCTGTTCTCATTCTGTCACTCTATGTAAAATATAAAGACTCAGAGTTAAAGCAACACAACACATTAGTTACTTTATTAACCTAATAAAAGTCAGACCCAAGTATATTTATACAGTAATGAAATTTCTAAACTTACCTCTATAGCAGGATAATAATTGTAATTCCAGTACCAAAAAGTTCTGGGTAAAAAACCTTTGATTAAGTGGTGTTCTGGTACAAAGGGATGAAAAGTTTCTTTTCCAGTGGTATCTCTGGAATCTCCCGCTTCTACGTTTATAATTTCCATGCATTTTCCCAGTGCTAAATCTTCAATTGAGGAACTATGTGTACATTTCTCTGTTTTAAATGCATCAACAAATCTCCTCAAGGCTTCTTTGCTCAGTACATATCCAGCTCCTCCACTCATGTAGCCTTGCTTCACATAGGGCTTAAATCTTCTTCCAAAATAAATGGGTCGCTCAGGGTCATATTTTGAAAGAAGCCATCTTAAATTGTCTAGTATCACATATGTATCATCATCAGCTTTCATAAACCAATCAGCATCTTCTAAATAATGGTCATGAACATACTGAAAAGCTTTAATTGTTTTCCAGTACAGCTGATCTCTGCCTTCTTTGGTTTTTAATCCCACAGTAGGGAAGTCTTTATTTTCTTCAGAACTCATAAATAACACTTTGTTACAACGCTGGGCCCATGTGGCTTTGACGTGTTTGGCCTTTTTCTCTAGATTTTGAGGGCCTGTCATAACCCAACAAAGAATTTTAACTTTTTGATAGAGGTTTTCAGCGATGTCTGTGTTTTCATCTAGCAAACAAATGTTTTTAAAAGTTATATTTAGATGTAAAAAACAAAAATACTATATTAAGAAAATATTTGTTTAAACTTATTTCAAGGACTGTCTTCTACCCATTTACTTACTAGTGACTTAGATTAAATAAATCAAAACCCAATCTAATATGTAACTGATACTCTGATTTATTAGTCTCATGTCAATTTTATCCAGAAGATAGCTAAAGTTATCTATGTCCAACAATGATTCACTAAAAGTATCAGTATCCGCTGGAAGTTTGTTAGTAATGCAAATTTCAGTCAGACCTGCTGCATTAATAAATCTCCTATTAATTCATATGCACTTTAAATACTTAAGTCTCTGCTTGCTGCTTTATGTTACAAAGAAAGTGCCAACTTTTCTTTTTTTAGCAAAATATTCACAGCATTTTCTTATTGTTCTGAATGAGTTTCTAAATGGCGGGGGAAAAGCATGCTGATAAAGTGCAGTTCATTTTTGAAATTCACTAGAATCAACTTCTATGAATTTCTTAAGTAATATGTGCTGGCCTTGAAGGCTGTCTGATTAAACCAGTTCAAATAGAGGGATTAATGAAAGCCGGAGGCTATTTCTAGTAGTATTATATATTTCAGTTTCAAGTACAAATCCAGCAGCCACAAACAGAATAGCACAATTCACAAAGGTGGAATTTCCAAGTTAGTCTACTGTAGTATTGTCTAAACTACAGATTTGCAGATATATGGAGCTAGTCAGAGTATAAAGCAGCATGCTTCTTATTTCATCAAGGAAGGATTTCCAAACAAAACAAAATCACTTAATAAAAAAAGAAGTAAGTTAGGGACTTAAACTGACTTGCATCCTGGAGTAAGCTTCACATCTGGATACAAACAATTCACAGGGTATCAGGCAAATGCCACATTATGAGTGACAATTGGGCAAGAAGAACCCAATTACATGATTCTGACTAGTGCCTTTCAAACTATCCGTGGTTAAAAGAGCAATCTTTTTGATTGTAAGGGATCTATCTTTTACAAATATGATAAAAATGAATCAGAAACACATGAGCTGGAAAATATATAAACTTTAGTCTGTATTTATTTTTAGATTCACAAAAAGTATTTGGCCAAGTTAACTTCCTGGCTACATTACTCAATTTTAATACTTTTTATTTTGGTGTCGGTATTGGACTCCAGGTCTTGTACTTGCTTGCTTGTGGCTGGTGCTTTACCACTTGAGCTATGCATCTTAACCTACCTTTTTGCTTGTTAACTGGAGATGGAACCTCATGCATTTTTTTCTGCCTTGCCTGGCTTCAAACTGCAATCCTCCAGATCTTATCTTCTCAAGTAGCTAGTATTGCAGACATGAGCCACTGGTCCCTGGCTTTAATACTTTACTGGCAGACCAGCCAAAGTCTGCAAATCACACTACAGTACAAATACTGTAGGATATTTTCTAAGAAAGCATACCCTTAAAGTTAAATATTGAGTTAAAGCTTCAGTGCTTAAGAAAATTAACAATATCATAACTTACCAGTTAACTGAGACTGAATAGAAGTTTGGGTGGGAAATCAAAATATTACAATCTAAATAACAAGAATTCACAACCCAGAAGGACAAAATGCCAACAAAATCCCTCCATTTTCAGTTAGTGTGGATGGATCGATAAAACCCCCCATCTGTCTAACTTAGGATAAGACAGCTTTCAGATCCCACTGCTGGGATCTGATAGATATTTTCACCTTTTAAAATGCTCATTTACTAGTTACTGTGTACCAGCTAGGTGCTAGAACAAGAGAGGAAAAGATGAATACGATTTATTTCTTGCCTCAGATGAATTCAGTTTAACAGAGGAACTTCACACACAGGCAAACAAGTAATTGCTACATAGTAGGAGATGCCATAATAGACGTAAGTACAAGGGCTTCAGTGTGTTGAGGGAAATTAAGTACAACTGGTAAATTCTATAGAACAGTGACATAAGGACTCGATCAAACAGAAAAGGGAAAGATACAGTGACACTAAGAAAGAGATGATACAGAAAAAAAAATAGTTCTTCATATGAGTGGAAGACAAGACACAGGGAAGTTAAGTGCAAGTACATGTGTAAGTAAAAGCCAGAATTAAGGGAATGTACTGTATGTACTGAGAGAAGGAGATCTGAAAAAATGGTAAAGAAATAGAATTATTAGAATTCAATGACAAATGGAATTTATTTAAATGTGTAGGAAACCATGTATCACGGTTTCATAGTTTTCTGACTTAAGTGATGGTAACTGCAATATAAAATAAGGAATATACTGGGGAAGAACAAGTTTTGAGAATGGGAATGGGAAGAAAAACAAGAATTCAATATATATGTTAAATCTGAGGCAATAAAAGACTTTACGATAACCTACTTCTTGTGGGCCACTGAGCAGAACCAATATTGATCCAATATATGTGCCTGCAATGAGGCCCAGCATAGCCTGGTAACTGGGAAGTATGACTCTAATTCATCATCCATCATGGAGTCATGCTGCAGCACAAGTACACAGTAACCAAACTGATCTGTAGTAAGTACAGGGTACTACTCAGAGCTTAATCATTGTTACATAATGTTCACGTAACATAAAAATGTGTAGTAGTATGTATCTGCCTGATAGTTGAAAAATTCACCCAGCTTTGAAAACACTTTCCAGTCTCTACATGAGAGAGGTTAGGTAAGAAATAATTTACTACTGGAAAGATTAGATAAACAACTGAATGTAGGACCCTACACATCTTAGAATTCTGATTATTTTCAAGCTATATGTATTCTCCTTAGAAAAATAAATCAGAGTTTGCATTATGCCTTCTCCCAGTAGGCTACATAACACGGAAAGGAAATTAAAATTACAAGGTTGATAATATCAACCTAAATGACAAAAATCTCGGAGAAAAGCTAAGACATCTAAATGACAAAATCTTGGAAAAAAGCAAATTAGGGCACCTACAAGACTCAACTTCTATGACCCTAAGAGATCAGGAGAACATAAAGTCATCATAACACATTATTACTTTTTAAAAATACAAATTTGAGAGTTGTGTATGACATTTACATGTGAATATGTATATATAATATATACATAGAGAAGGAGATTTTAAAAAATAACATGGATAATATAACAAAGCCATAAAAAAAAAACTGGACCTAAAGAAAACTTTTCCAAATATTATGCTGTTCTCCATTTTATGGTCTTTGAACCATTTTTTTTTTTTTTGGGTCCAGTCGTGGGGCTTGAACTCTGGGCCTGGACGCTGTCCCTCAGCTCTTCAGCTCAAGACTAGCGCTCTACCACTTGAGCCACAGCACCACTTCCGGCTTTTCTCTTTTTGCATATGTGGTGCTGAGGAATCGAACCCAGGGCCTCAGGCATGTAAGGCAAGTGCTCTACCACTGAGCTACCTTCCCAGCCCCTTTGAACCATTTTTTAAAAATTTATATATTTTATTTATTGTAAAGGTGATGAACAGGGAGGTTACACTTACAAAAGTAAGGTAATGAGTACATTTCTTTTCAAACAGTTACCATTTTACTTAAAACTAAATTTAAAATTAGTAGCTTTTTTAAATAAACTGACTTTAAACAACTTCCTTCTCCTAAGGCAAACTAAAAATTGCCTTTTAATATCAGGAATGTAGATTTTTGTTTATAGATGTAGTGTGTGTATGTGTGTGTGTGTGTTGGTCCTAGGGCTTGAACTCAGGGCCTGGGCACTGTCCCTGACCTTTTTTGCTCAAGACTAAGCACTCTACTACTTGAGCCATAGCATCACTTGTGGCTTTCTCAGTAGTTAACTGGAGGTAAGAGTCTCACAGTTTTTTCTGCTGGCTTTGTGCCACGATCCTGAGCTCGGCCTCTTGAGTAGTTATGTTTATAGGCATGAGCTACCACTTTCCAGCTCTTATAACACTTTAATAACATAAAACCATACCTTTATGTTGGCTAGAATCTGCATTGAAGTTCATTTGACCTTCTAGATGATTCTGTCCAATATCATCTGAATGTCTAGCGTGAGGATCATTATGAAGAATATTAGGCTGAGTGTCATCCTGTTCTCCCAACAAAATACTAAATAACTGAGAACATAAAAAAAATCCTATTGCTGATCCACAGAGGAAGGTTAAAAAATTCAGCCAAGATTTAGAGGCCATTTCCTGAAAGTGTATTTCTGAAAGAGAAAAAAAGGGAGGGGGGAATATATTAGCAGGATATTTCAAAATTATAAAGCACGATACACAACAAAAACAAAAAGTCTGAGGTTTAACCATCATGGAAAGTTCCTTTGGTATAGGAAAACACTACTTCTGGTATGTATATGTAAATCTATGCATGATGTCCCATGTTTTATCTCTAGATTATTCAATACAAGGTAAATGCTATATAGGTATATCATATTGCTTAGGGAATGATGACAAAATCATCAGCACATATTCAGCAAGTATGTAGTTTTGTCCCCCAGTATTTTAAATTCACAATTGCCTGAATCTATGGATGTGAAAACCATGGGTAAGAAGGCAGAAGGTAACTATCAAAACTGACTCAGCATACAAAACCTAAACCAGCATAGCAGAAATAAAAACTTTTGCCAAAGCACCAGATTTTTAAAAAGAGATTTATCTTGGAAGAAATACTTCAATTTTTCAAAGGTAAGTTTATACTACTTTAACTATTCTAAATACTATGTGCCAGAATTTGATAAATCTTATTTTCTGTATGAGTTTGATATAAATGTTATACCATCAAAGGTTCCTGCACAACTATTAGTAGTTATCTTAAATTGGGTCTCCTAGAAGAAACTGGAAAATGAGACAGGTGGGTGAAAGTGATTTCTTAGGAAGTGTGGAAAAAATAAAATCACAAAGATAAAGGTAGATGGAGGCATCACAAATACTAGGCTAAGAGAATATGAAGGACTTGGCTTCAGTCACAGCTACTTCCAAATAAACTCTGAAACCTGTGCAACTTGCTATATCTACAATAAAATGGGCTTAGAGCTTCCACTTCCATTCGCGTAGACTCTTGAATACTCCTACAGAAAGCCACCAGGGTTCTTTTATGTAACTCTTTTCCTGTCCCAAGAATTTCCTTATTCTTGTTTCTTCCCTCCCTTTCTAAGAACTTATTTGTTCATATTCTTTAAATTATGCAATCTCTTTCTTACAAAACTGCTGCTTTGTCTCCACTCAATTCCTGGCAAACAACTAATATGTAATTCCTCTTCCCGCTGAGGTTTTTGCCTTTAAATCTTGTTGGCAATTTGTAAGATCTCAGAGCACATTTCAGTTTGCTTAAAGTCTGTGTCTCCTAAGTTGTAACTAACATCAGTCCAAATAAATTCTTTGTTTCTTAATCAATTGGTGCCCTAGTTTTTCTTAAGGTCGACAAAACTATTCCTTGGAAAAACCTGTGGGGAAATAACACAAGAAGGAAGTAAGCTAAGTAAAAAAAGCTAGCAAGCTACATCCCATGGAGGACAGGTAATTCTAACTAAATCCCTCAGGGTGGCACAGGACACAAAAGTAGGTCATACCTCAGAGTATACTTAAACCATCAGTCACTGGTTGAGATCTGTCCTTAGGAACAAAATTTCCAGATCTATCTCCCACATGAACACTGGAAAGCAGGTTCTAGTATTGTGAGGACAGTTCCCATAAACAACCCTGGAAGATACATGTTGGGAATGGATACACACAGGAGCTCTAAGAGGAGAATGAAAGGCTTTAACTGGCCTTTGGACAAGCACTGGTGTCATCTGTTACTATGAGTTTAGGACAGGGAAAACCACTTGGTTTGGATTTGCATTCTGGTACTCCCAAAAGGATGAGTAATAGACCATTCTAGTTAGATCACCCTACAATTGAGGGCGCTGGTGATTCGCCCAACAACATGTGATGAGATTTTAATTAATTTCTTAGTATCTACTCTAAATTATGAACAGTTAAGAATTACCAGACATTTTAAGGAAAGCTTTGAGAAGGACAAATAACAGAGAAACTTGGAAGAGACTATATAATGATACAAAAACTTAAACAAAAAGCTACCATTAATATTTTAAAAATAAGACATTATCTCATTGCATTAATGAAATAAGATAGTTTTTTTTAATCAGAAAACAAACAGAACATATTAAATCTCCAAAAACCTGTGCTACTAAAGTATGTCAACAACATAGGATTATTCTTCATCAGACTCTGGTGGCCTCTGTGAGAGCTCTGCCGAAAGTAGTACAAAGCTATGAGGGTTCAAGAATTTTAAAAGTGGCCGCAGTGGCTCGAAGCCTATAATCCTTGCTACCTGGGAGGCAGAGATCTGGGGATTGTGGTTCAAGGCTAGGCCCGGCATAAAAATTCTCAAAACTCCATCTCAACCAATAGTGTGTGCGTGGTGGGGGTGGCAAACACTTATTATGGCAGTTACAGAATTAGTACAACAGTTAGATACAGTGGTGTGTGTCTGTCATCTTCCCTGATGTGGGGAAGCACAAGTAGGAGGATAACAGCTCAGGTTAGTCAACAAATAAAGTGAGACTCTCCCTTGAAAATAACCAAGGCATAAAGGCCAGAAGTGTGGCTCAAATGGTAAAATGCCTGCTTTGTAAGTGCAGCGCGCGCGCACACACACACACACACACACACACACACACACACACACCCTGAAAAGTTGAGAAAACTGAGTACTAAATAAAATAACTTCAAATTAAAATATTAAACAATTTAAAAGCTTAACAGTAAAGTTTAGACAGAAGTTAAAAAAATCTCTTTTGCTAAAAGCAAACTTTTACCTTGTAGATACAAATTAAACACAAGATGATGAAAAAGAATAATATTTATGATAGTTACATATTAGTTTATAGGCCCAGATAAAAGAGAGGGGAACAAGTTTAAAGTCACAAAAAATGGAAAGGCTGGTGTAGAGATTTCCTTTATATTTCCTGCCCCACAAATACACAGTCTCTTTTATTAACAACATCTCTTGCTACTTTTCATAACTGAGGAACCTACATTATCACCCAAAGTATATAGTCCTAATCTAACCCCATAGTCCATTTTGTGGGTTTGGACAAATGTACAAAATTGTCACTATATGATGGAGTATTTTCTTTTACTGCTGCCCTAAAAAGCCTAAACTACAGATGGTCCTCAAGTTAAATCCACTGTAAGAAGAAAATACTAGATTTTGAAATGTTAATATAGCTAACATATAGAATACCACAGTCATGCAATACAGCACACTGTGGAGGGTTAGATATTTATCCTGGCAATTATGTACCAACTGGGAGCTGCTCTAGTTCTGTGTTGCAAGGAACCTACCCACATACCACTAGGCCAGGAAAAGGTCAAAACTCACAATTTCAAGAATGGTTTATGCTAAATATATACTGTGTTCACATTATGGTTTAAAAAAAAAAGAAAAAAAAAGAAATTGTAAACTGAACAACTAAGCCAAAGGTCATTTGTATTTACTGACAATAGTGATGATAAATCTACTTACTACCTGTTCAAATACTTGTAAAAAATAATTACATATTTCTAAAAGAAAAGGGAGAGTAAAAGGCAGTGCTTGTGTAAGTATTATTTAATAGAAAACAGCTGGATCTGAAATACTTTATCTCCTATATAGAATTTGTTACAATATCATATACATTTTGTCTCTCAGATTTGCTGATTATGCTTTTCACAAGAATTGTGAAATAAACTAGAAATGACAGAGTAAATCAGTACACTCATTCATTCTCTCACCACCAAGTTATCTCTGTACCTCTATTTTAAGACATTCTGTGATGATACTTTTTTCCCTCCATTCCTTACTCATTCTCCTCTGAGCCAATAACTTTATAGAAGTTTCACATAACAGTCTTGTTTAAAAGTTTTATAATAATGTAATCCCTGTTCTCTTCTATGTGGGGAATTTGCTAAAAGACCAAATGAGTATTGGCACAGATAGCAGTCACCCAATTGCTTTTTTATATGTACATAACTAAGACAAGTTCAATTTATGAATTAAGCACAGTAGAATTAACAACAGAACAATAAAAGTAGCATACTGAAATAATTTGAAAATGGTGTGTCTCAAAATAACTTATTGTACTATTGATTTTACCAACTTTAGAATACATACTTTTCTTTCTTTATTAAACTGAGAACTTTTATCTTCTCATTTATAGAGATTTTTTAAAATTTTATGGCTTATTTTGGAATATCCAAATTGCCAGCATGATCACATTAAGGTCATTGATAAGTTAAAAACCCAATATGCTCAAAACAATACAACAACAAAACCTAAACTAAAACATAGCAAACAGCAGAAAAAGAATACTATTTACAGAGTAATTACATTATTATATTCAAACACCTGGTTTTCACCAAATAATACTAAGGCATACAAAGAAAGTAATCACAGATTATTTTAAAACCTTTGAAAAGAGAGAAAAAACTCTATAGTAGAAACAAAGACAAGATATTCTGAAGCTAGGAGTAGTAAAAATAACTGAAATTTGTTAAAGAGAATCCAAACCAAATTTGGGCAGTCAGGAAAAAATAATTCAAACCTGAAAATAGAACAACTTATAGTCTGAGGAATGAAAAATAGATAAACATCATTAAACAGACCCATTTACACACGAAGGTAGTCCCCAAAAGAGGGGAGAAAATCTAAAGAAGTAATAGCTGAAAATCCCCAAAGTCAATGAAACATATCAATATTAACATCTAAGAAACCCAAGAAAAGGTAAGTAGGGTAAACTCAAAGATTCATATGAAGAAACATTCTAATCAAACTGCAGAAAGCCAAGAGTTAATCTTGAAAGCAGCATGAAAGATGTGATTTATCATATATACCAGTGATCATCAGTAAGATGTCTCATTGGAAATTTTGGAGGGTTCGAATGTAATAGTTTGATATATTTAATGTGCTAAAACAGACAAAAAATTGTCAGCCAAAAAATCTCACATCTGGAAAAATTGTCCTTTAAAAATGAAAGAAATTAAGATACTTTGAAGTTAAAAAAAAAGCTGAGGAAGTTCATTACCACTGGATTGGCTCTTTAAGAAATACAGATTCTTTCCATTTCCTTACAAATGGGGCAGTGTCATTCTTTCTGATGGAAGCATAAAATTCACATATATCTATATATGTATATACACATATCTATCACATTTTCTTGATCCATTCATCTACTGAGGGGCATCTGGGTTGGTTCCATCTCTTTTTTTTTTTTTTCTGGTTGGTTGTGGGGCTTGAACTCTCAACTTGGGCGCAGTCCCTGCACTCTTCAGCTCAAGGCAAGTGCTCTACCGCTTGAGCCACAGTGCCACTTCCGTTTTTTCTAGTGGTTTATTGGAGATAAGAGTCTCATGGACTTGCCTGCCAGGGCTGGCTTTGAATCGCAATCCTCAGATCTCAGCCTCCTGAGTAGCAAGGATTACAAGTGTGAGCCACCAGCACCTGGCGAACTAAAGTCTTATTTTTTTCTTTTGTCGGTCATGGGGCCTGAACTCTGGGCCTGGTCACTGTCCCTCAACTCTTCAGTTCAAGGTAAGCAATCTACCACTTGAGCCACAGCGCCACTTCCTCCATATCTTAACTATGGTGATTAATGTTGCGATAAAAATAGTTGTGCTGGTAGCTTCAGTATGGCCTTGTTTGTGGTCATTGGGTAAATGTCCAGAAGTGGGATTGCTGGGTCACGTCACAGGGGAGCTCTATGTGTAGTCTTTTGAGGAACCTCTACACTGCTTTCCAGAGTGGTTGAACAAGTTTACACTCCCACCCATGGTGTAGTAGCATTCCTTTTGGGCCACATCCCTTCCACATTAAATAAAGTAAGCCAGACCCAAATAAACTTAAGTCCCATGGTTTCCCTTACTTGTAATAATTAGTATATGTCTAGAGCAATCTTAGCAGATGAGCAGAATAGCTCAATACCTTTGTACATATGACCATATAGGATGAGGCTAAGTGAAATGAACTCCAAGACATGGACACAAGAGGTTTTGCTTTGTTGTTGTTCTCAATGTACTACATGATTTATTATTTTTTTCTTTTGTGTTTTTTTCCCATATGGTTTATCCCGTTGTCTCTGTATTTGATTTTGGTGCCCTGGGTATTGTATGTATGTTTCTCTGAATTAGGGATAGTAAGGGGAACAAAAAAAATGGTGAGACAAAGGACAAAGGGGGAAACCAATGCAACAGCGATACTCAAAAGACAGTATGATGGAAATGATCTGTACACCTGGGGGTGGGGTGGGGAGGATGGAGGGAGGGCAAGAGGGAGAAAAATGAGGGAGGGGGTAACAAGTTGAACAGAAATGTACTACCTACCTTACTTATGTAACTGTAACCCCTCTCTCTGTACAACACATTGACAATAAAATTAAAATTGAAAAGAAGACAAATACAGACTCCTCTTCAAACTCTATTACAGAGCTATAGTACTAGCACAAAAACAGGCCTGATGACCAATTGAACAGAAGACCCAGAAATAAATCCACAGACCTATTGCCATCTAATATTCAATAAGGGAACTAAAAACACAGGCTAGAAGACAACCTCTTCAACAAACGATGCAAGGAAAACTGAAACTGGACCCTTATTATCACCATTCACC